ATACAGACTGTATGTTAAATGGATATATCCGCCTTCTTTCATTTATCTTTCCATTCCCACAACAATATACATAAAGAAATGGCATATTTTGGACATAGTTCGAATGGTGATTAATCATGATTAATTAATGTTTAAGCTGTGATTAATCTGATTTAAAAATGTTAATCTTTTGACAGCCCTACTATTATTATTATTATTCTTATTAAACAATTAACTCAAAACTCCTGTTGTGATGTTAAACTGGGAGGGTTTCCTCAGATCTCTTTTTTTTTTTTTTTTTTCTTGTAACAAGGTTTATGGGCTTACGTTAAGCAGTAGAAGGATCATTTCCCAAAGCTAGACGTGCGCTAGAACAAAGGAGTTCCTCAGAGAGAAATAAATAGTTTTTTTCTTCTTTTTTCATCTGCATGTTAATTAAAACAGCAGCAGAATCTATATCCTGGCTCCTAAACATTTTTGCTGAGGGCTCAGAAAACCCCCAAGCTCCATGTTCTGCAATGAAGCTGGCTTTCGGGAAGATGGCGTGGATATGTAGGCTATCATTCAGCCCTAGTCTTTTACATCCATTTAATTCAAATGTACACTCATACATTATGAGTATGGTATATTTTCCTTCATCAAGACTATTCAGGATGGACAACCTTTCAGACCTCAGCTGATCTTTGAAAAGCTGGCTGAAATCATCCCTGCTTCTGCTACATTTGCATCACAGTATCTGAAGCTATGAATCCGATCTCTCAACTGTATAAATAGAAACTATTATCATTTAATTGTGATGTAAAACATTTTTTTTAATGGTATTTTTACTGCTTTCCTGTTGGCAAGTCACACAATGTAGGACATTCTCTGAGGTAAGTAGATTATGATGTATGTCTTTGCATTAGTACCCTATATTTCTTAAAATATTGAGTTTTATTAGAATTTAATGGAGAGGAATATTGTGTCTTTAGAGCCAGTGAGTTAAGGCTGTTATAATATTATTATGATATATTATTATAGTTAGGGGCGGCAGTGGCTTCAGCTCACGCCCCGATCGGACCAAAAATAGCTCCTCGCAGGGTCTTGCAAATGCATGTGAATGTGTGCACCTATATGTCACCTGTATTCCAATGCATGTGTGTTTTTGTACTGTGTGTGTGTATTAATATACATATATGTATATATATACAAACAGAGTGGGGAAACTGAATTCCCTCCTAGGGGGATCAATAAAGTTAATCTTAATAATAACAGCAGCATTATGCACCTACTGACCAACTGAAAGCACAGCTACAGGGGGGGGGTTGTCTGTAGCAGGTCCTAATGAATTTGATGCAACAAACAATAATAAATAGCTTTCTGGGGTACAAATAAGGTATATTCAACAATGCCAGGATAATATGCTACCATTGCATGATTGAAATGTGCTTAGCGTTATACAACAACACAAAAAAACAAAATACATTGATTAAGAATGGACAACCGAGTGGTTAGGGCAGTGGTTCTCAAACTTTTTCTGTCATTCCCCACTTTGAACAGGTGGGCCTTTTCAAGCCCCACCTGTTCCTCATCGCTCCAATGAAATGGTAGGCCAAGCTTAACATTTTCAAATGTATCGTTCGTAAAACAGGGGTCTCCAACCTTTTTTAGCATGAGAGCTACTTTAAAAAAATAGAACAATTCGTGAGCTACTTTTACTCCTCTTTTTAGTTTTTTTTGCAGTGTATATATTTAGCACATTTTAACATTATTATATGCTTACCTTTAACCTTTGTGTGCTGTTTGGGTCTGTGGGACCCGTTTTCAGGGATGTAACGATACCAAAAACTCAAGGTACGATAATATCGCGATAAAAAGTCCACGGTACGATATTTATCGCGATATTGAAAAATAAAGACAAAAAATGTGATTTAAAAAAATTATAATTCTTTATTAAATAATAAATCTGATTTGTACAGCATTTTAGTAGGATAGTAGTATTTAAAGTGTCAACAATATAATAATCAGACCCTGCAATAGAATAAATCAAGTTTCACTTTAGTTTTTCAAGTAACTCTACTCACTCTCTAACTCACTCACTCAGCATCATCAAGGTTATCTTTTAGGAATATGAGCATGTCCGCATTTTCAGGTAGAAGCTGGGATGTTTGGGCGTTTACAATATCCCCTGCTGTGGAAAAAACTCTCTTGCTTGGTACTGATGTTGCTGGGACAGAGAGATATGCTTTGGCCATGGGTGACAGCAGTGGGTAAAACTGTGCATTGTCAAATAAGTCTGTAAATGATTTTGGTTTCAGTTGTGTGTGTGTGTGAGCAGGCTCGGATTGGCCATCGGGAGTATCGGGACTTTTCCCGGTGGGCCGCTGCCGTTGGTGGGCTGCTGCCTTCGGTGGGCCGCTGCCTTCGGTGGGCCGCTGGCTCTGGCATAGGTAGGCCGTGGACTTTCACAGTGCCGCTGCGCAGGTACCGCATCCACCGACGCAAACACACAGCGGCGCTGTGAAAGTCCACCGCCGTTGCGAGTCTCCGGCTGTAACAGTCCACTACTGCCCACGAGGACCCGGGTTCGATTCCGGCCTGAGGTCCAAAACATGTATTAAAAAAATAATAAACTCCCGTTCATCGCATCCATTCGCGACCCACCTTTGACATCTCTGCGCCCCACACTTTGAGAAACGCTGGGTTAGGCTATAAAACTTAACAGATCCCACTCCAAAGTGAAATAAATGTGGAACACTGTAAGATCTGTTTAACTACTGACTGAAGTGCAAAGTATGCAACCATTCACTTTCAATGTGAACACTGTGACAAGAGTATGACAGCTGGTAGGCATTCCGGTTTCCTAATGCCCCCCCCTTCTCCTTAACACTCCATCAGAGACGACATGGGAGAGACCGTCCAGTGCCCCTGGGACCCCAAACACCTGCCTCTGCCACAGACCCCCCCTGCCAATAGGTAGGGTCTGCAGTTTGTCAGCACCCTGTTCAGCAAACACACTTCCTGTGACTCATCTCTGCCCTGCTGGGAGGCCTCCTCCATTTCTGTTGATTACATTTTCATCAGTTGCTAAATATTTAGGAAGGAATTTGCACCAAACTTATTGGTGAATTTATGAATAGTTAGTGGAACCCAATCAAGATCTCTATTATTTATCTGTGCTTGCCTCATATAAGACATAATATACACACAACAAGAAGGAAACGTTCATCCTGGATCAGCAAAGGTTACAGCCAATCAGCACCAAATAACTAAGGACTTTCTCTTTCCCTCTCACCCTCTTTCTCTCATTTCTCTCCAGTAAATGGATTTCACTCAAGTGGTAGTCCGTTGCATCATGTGGAACATTCACACAACAGTGTGGTTAGGAAAAGCAGTTCAGAGCCACAGGTAAAGCCGTTAAACTATTCAAACAAACCCTTTTCCTCTACCACTGGTCAAACCTCACCCAATGAGCTTTATGGGGCTGACACACATGGTAAATAGACTGCATATATGTAGCGCTTTATACAGGGAGCATCAACTGCAGGGGCTGGGATCAAACCCACAACCTTCCAATGGAAGGGCGACCAGCACTGCCTCACAGGCACAGTTGCCACAATTGCTTGAATTACCCGATTTGGCCTCAGGAGTTCATACGTTACTTTGTGTTAGACAGATAAGCTAATTGCCTTTACTAAACAGTTACTACGCAGATCTGTAAGGTTTGCTAATATAAACACACATAAAAGTGAAAAAATCAATAATTAGTTGAAAACGAATCAGTTTTTGCCAATCAATGCAGTTCTTCAGGAAAATAGCAAGCTGGTTGCCAGACGACATACAGACGTTGTGGAGCTTGATTAAATATTTGGCTGATTAATAAGATTTATCTTAGACTATTAAAATACACTGTTTAAGCGTCGCCTTTCAGAAAGCTTAGGGCCCAGGGACAGACATTTACCTTAGCATCATTCTCAGGGGGTTGACCAGCTTTTCTTCTGCTGCCTATTTCAAGAATGGGATATTTCAAAGGTCTCTTTCTTGGGGTGTGGGCAAATAGCTCTATAGCGCCCCCTACAAAGTTGCTAACAGGCAGCCTCTCAGCAGTATTGTAAATCCAACAGGAAGTTAGTCATCTTCTGAGCTTTTGAGAAGTTAGAGTTTTTATTTTTGTTGAGAACTTAGAGTTGCTTGGGCAGGGTCTCTAATAAATCATCAGTCTGACCTCAGTTCCAGCTCTCCTGTGTGCTCCTTGTGTTCCAGTTCTTTGCTCCAAGAATCTCATCACATAAGTCATTTTCTATTTTATGTGCAGTCCATTTTTTACTTTTCACATGCCGCATTTAAACAAGCTCCTCCTACGGATTTCATCCAACCAACTTCCAATGTTGTCGGTACTATCATAACACCTTGATGATCTAAAGTGTTTTAAAGCTTTAGTCTCCATCCCAAGCCCTCGCCGTGTCTTGGTGGAGAAAAAGTTTACTCAGAACACAGTAAATTACTACTAATTTGTTAGGTGTGTGTGTGTGTGTGTGTGTGTGTGTGTGTGTGTGTGTGTGTGTGTGTGTGTGTGTGTGTGTGTGTGTGTGTGTGTGTGTGGCGGTCATGTCTGACAGAGGTGTGTTCTCTCTGCAGAGCCCAGGATCAACGTCAGCTACCAGGAAACAGAACAAGGAAACTACAGTCACAGTGAGTGTGGAGGATAACAGGAACTCTGATCTCTGAACCCCCCCTGACCCCTCCCTGCCTCTCTACAGTAGCCCTGAAGGAACACATTTGATCCCATCAGAGAAAGGCTTCAGTATTTCTTCAGTCTTAGTTTAAAACCACAAGCTGGAGACATTTTCTAGGTTGACTAGCATGGAATTCCTTGAGATTAGCATGATGATTAAGAGCAGATATTTTCCCCGCATATATTTAGCTATTTAGTCCAAGATCGGAGGCTCTTTGACACTAAGGGGGCAGTACAGGTCATTATTTTATAATTAATGGATTCAGTATTTCTTTAAATAACAGTTTGTGTCTAAAAAAACAAGAAGATTGAACAGGGTGATTTCCATAATAAAGTGAACATGTATTACACATTGTTGAGGATCCTTACATTTGTGTTGTATCAAGCATGGTACACATGCAGTTTATATGGATTTCGGTGTCAGATTTATTTGTTTTTCAGATTGAAGTAGAAAAAGCTCTGTCAGTAGCAGACTTGCAAACAATACAAAGACCTCACTTGAGAATGTTGGGGGTAGCCTTGCCCTGGTCTCCACCAGAGGAGGGGGTGGGGGGGGGCAGTTGAAACCACTCCAGCTGTCAATGTCTGGACCTCAGCAGTGACACATTAATCTGTATAAACCATGGTAAGGTTGAACTCCAGTTATTGTTTCCAATCCGAATACTGGCTCTGAAGAAGTCATAAGCTGTTTGTGGTGCCACTGAAGAAGAAGAATTGCATCCTTGCTGCAGGGTGTTTGCCTTCTGAGGTGAGCTGGAAGAAATTAAAAAAGTTAGCCCTAGTCTTTGTTAAACTTGGGTCTATTTGTATCTTAATTGTCATTAAAAGATTTTTCATTTATTTTCCTTTTGAGATGTGTGGTTTCTTTCCCTTTCCATTTCAATGGTAATGCATAACTGAATTGGCAGCTGAAGAAGATGCATTTGCTTTTAAAAAAAAAACATTATCATTTTCTTTTGCTAAACTTTGAAATTATGACTTGTCGAATCCTAACCTTAAGCCACTGGTTTTAGAGAATTGTATTTTGTATTCTGTATGAATGATTTTCAAAAAGCAGTGATTATCTTCTTCTTTCTCTACGACCCTGGAATTTCACAAGAAAGGAAAAATAATCAAGCTCTCAGCATTATAGGATCAGTGTACTGTTCTTTTAACCCCAGACAGCTCACAGCAGGGAGCCTGCTGCCTATCATCTAAGAAATAGTCCTTCACTGTCAAACTGATGACAATGTTTTCAGTAGTATTCAACATGCTTATTAGTGTGAATGCTGTAACTAATAAGTTAATCTTCTTCTTTGGTGCGAACGCTGTGCAACCTTCTTCTTCTTCTTCTTCTTCGGTGGTGGAGGAGGTATGTTTGAAGAGGGAAGAGAGATTTTCACTTTTATTTCGTTTGTTTTTGTTTCAATCGTTTATTTAACTGTATGATCTTTCGTTGGTATATTTCTACTCTTTGCAAGTACGTCAGACCAACTCCAATCTCTGCGGAGACAGGTTTTCATGTTTCTGAATTGTCCCACTCAGACACTAGAAGTGTCCTTCCGGGTGAGGCACGAAGAGGGTTTTTATATGGTGTATGCGAGCTCAGGGAACGCAAAGTGTTTTGAGTGCGGGGAGTCGGGTCACAAACGTGTTGCATGTCCAGAGAGACGGCACGCCGCTGAGCCCGGGGCAGCCGAGCCAGGGGCAGAAGCTGGGTCCGCGGCCGCGGAACCCGGTGTCGTTGGGGCCGTCGCTGCACCCGCCGGGGCCCCGGGGGCTGCGGATGAAGTAGGGATGAATATCGTGAGAGATGAAACAGAGAGTGTGGTGAGTGTGAGAGGAAAACATGTGGAAACAGGTAAACGGGTGGGAGATGATATAGCAGGACAGGTGAGGACCGGGGCTGTGGGACAGGTGGAGGCTGTTAGCACACAGCAGGAGCTGCCGTCTGGCTCTGGGCGGCAAAAAGAGCTTCAACAGGCTGCAGACAGTAATGAGGTGACAGAGATGGACACAGACGGTGAGGGGGATTCTGACTGTGTTTCAGTTGCAGATAGTCTCTCAGAACACAGAGATATATTCTTTGGAAGAGTCTTTTAGCAAGGCAGTGGAAGTGAGAGACTTTTTCCCTGACACTAACAAGTTTCTTCATACAGTGAGCACTCTTCAGAAAGTTTTAGGGTTAGACCTGCCGGATGAAAAGAAATGCTATCGTCTCAGGAAGCATGTAACTACTATGAAAAAAGTTACGAAAGGAAGCAAAAAAGGGGGGAAACTGAAAAGGTCTAAATAATTTCAACATGATCATGCAACACTGTGTGTCTCCTCTCTGCTGTGTGTACCTGTCTGTTCTTTTTTCTCTATCTCCTTCCTCTAATGCAGGCTTTAAGGGTTGCTTCTTTAAACATTAACGGGGGTAGAAGTGCACAGAAAAGAGCGTTAGTGTTAAAAATGAGATGTGATATTTCTACAGGAAACGCACAGTGATAGCCTGAATGGGACGGACTGGAATGTGGTGGGGGGTCAGTATGTACTCAGTCATGGCTCAAACCTTAGTGCTGGAGTAGCTGTTTTTTTCTCCCCCTCTCTAAATGTTAAGATTCTATCTAGCACAGAGATAGTGGCAGGTAGAGCCTTGATGGTGGAAGTGGAACTGTTAGTTCTTTTTCACTTTTATTAATGTTTATGCACCCAATCAGGGCCCTGCACGTGTATCTGTTTTTCAGTTGTTAAAAGACAAGCTAGACACTAGTGTACAGGGGGAGTGTGTTATACTGGGGGGGAACTGGAACGCTTGCACTAATGTCACTTTAGACAGAATAGGACGGGAGCCGCATCCTCAGTCGTCCCTTTTACTGTCACAGGTGATAAGAGAGGCTGACTTAGTGGATGTGTGGAGGATGAAACACCCCTCTGTTAAACAATACACCTGGATGAGAATGCTAGATGGTGCAGCCAAGTGCAGCCAGGCTAGACAGATTTTACATGTGTGCTTCTTTTATTAGTCGTGCAGTGAACTGTCACATCCAACCTGTTGGTTTTACAGATCATCAGCTAGTTTCTTTAGATTTGGTTTAATCCAACAACGAGAAACCTAGATCGTTCTGGCAGTTTAATGTTAAAATTTTACAAGATTTGATTTTCTGTGAGAATTTTAAATAGTTTTGGATCAACTGGAAATCAAAGAAAGAGTCTTTTCCCTCCCTGAGTCAGTGGTGGGAGGTAGGAAAGGCTCAGATTAGAGTGTTCTGCAAACAGTATACAGCCTACTCCACTGCAAACATTAGGAGAGCTATAGAGCCGTTAGAGAGGGAGATCAGAGAGTTAGAGAGGGAGATCAGAGAGTTAGAGAGGGAGATCAGAGAGTTAGAGAGTGTGTCTGCTCGAAATATAGAACAGTCCCTCCTAAAACAACAACAGCTTAACTGTTTTCTTCAGGAGAAGGCCAAGGGAGCTCTGATCAGAGCCCGTTTTACTTCAATGAGAGACATTGATGCACCAATCACCTTTTTCTTCAACCTGGAGAGGTCTGTGGGCCACAGGAAGCAGATGGTATGTCTGCGTCTCCCCGATGGACAGGTTACCTCTGAACCTGCTGTGATGAGGAGGCATGCAGTGTCCTTCTACACAGACCTGTTCAAAGACGAAGGTTGTGACGTTGAAGCTGCTCAGGGTCTTCCACAGCTGAGTCCAGCCGAAAGTGACACCCTTGGCTCTGACATTACGCTGCAGGAACTGACCTCTGCGGTGACACAGCTGGCCTCCGGCAAGGCTCCCGGCATAGACGGTTTACCTGCAGACTTTTTTAAACATTTCTGGAGTATTCTGGGACATGACTTGCTAGACGTACTGATGGAGTCCTTTGGGAAAGGGACTCTTCCAGCTTCCTGTAGGCGTGCAGTGATTTCACTGTTGCCTAAGAAAGGAGATCTAACCCTGCTGAATAATTGGAGACCTGTGGCTCTCTTATGTACGGACTATAAGATACTGTCAAAGGTTTTAGCTAACAGACTGAAGTGTTTTATCGAACTTCTTGTTGGTACTGATCAGACATATTGCATCCCTGGCAGATCAATTGTGGACAATTTGTTTTTGATGAGAGACACTTTGGATGTTTGCAAACTGTATAATATAAATGTTGGTATTATTTCTATTGACCAGGAGAAGGCGTTTGATCGTGTGGATCACACTTTTCTGGCTGCATCATTGCAGGCTTTTGGTGTTGGGGAGCATTTTTTGTCCTGGGTGAAGTGTTTGTACAGTGATGCATGTTGTGTTGTGAAGGTGGGGGGAGGGCTGAGCAGACCTGTACCAGTTAAAAGGGGGATCAGGCAGGGCTGCCCTATCTCAGGCCTATTATATAGTATTGCCATCGAGCCGCTTTTGTGCAGACTTAGAAACCGGTTGAGGGGCCTGTGTCTGCCAGAGTCAGCTCAGGCCCCCCCCGGTGGTTGTATCAGCTTATGCTGATGATGTCAGTGTTTTTGTCCAGGGTCAGCGAGATATCCAGGAGCTACAGGACAGTTTAGCTTTGTACAGGAAGGCTGATTCAGCCAAAGTTAATTGGGAGAAGAGTGAGGCAGTTTTGGTAGGTCAGTGGAGTCTAGAAAATAGGCCCAGTCTTCCTGGTAACCTCAGCTGGGGAAACAAGGGTTTAAAGGTCCTGGGAGTTTGGTTGGGGTCTGAGGATATGGTGGCACAGAACTGGGAGGGATTGCTGGGAAAGGTGCAAGCAAAATTAGCCAAATGGAAATGGCTTTTATGAATGAAAATTAAATTAAATTAAATATCTTTTAATGCAATACTTAAGTCTTGACAGAATGGTAAATATCTCTTAATGCAATACTTAAGTCTTGACAGAACGCTTAATACACTTCCCCAGCTGTCCTACAGGGGAACAGTTCTTGTAGCCAACAATCTGGTTGCCTCGTCTCTGTGGCACAGACTCCAGGTGTTAACCCGACCGCCGGGCCTCATGAAACAACTGCAGCGGCTCCTCGTGGATTTCTTCTGGTCAGGTCATCACTGGGTGCCAGCATCGGTCCTGTACCTCCCTGTGGCGGAGGGGGGGCAGGGCCTTGTGGACATTACTGCGAGGACTGCTGCTTTTAGACTGCAGGCAGCTCAGCGGCTGCTGTATGGTGCCTCTCCCTGCTGGCTGGCTATGGCCTGGCTGTTGCTCTGGAGGGCAGGGGGCTTTGGTTTTGATAAACACCTGTTTCTGCTGAAGGCCCCTGCGTACAAGATAACTGGACTTGCACCTTTTTACTGCTCAGTCATCAATGCCTGGAAGATTCTGAGTTTTACCAGACCACCCGACCCCCGGCCTGGGATGTGGCTGTTTGAGGAGCCCCTGTTTGACACTGGTTTTCTTTCCGGAACAGGTTTTTAAAAATCCTCTGACACAGAAGTTAACCAGTCCCAATTAAAATCACCAAGCAGCACTATTTCCTTGTAGTCTAGTTGAGATAAAAGTTTTGCCAATGAAGATAAAGAGTCCTTGACAGCTGAGGGGGGTCTGTAGCAGCCCACCACCATGACCTGTTGACCCTTCTGTGGCACAGACTCCAGGTGTTAACCCCACCGCTGGGCCTCATGAAACAACTGCAGCGGCTCCTCGTGGATTTCTTCTGGTCGGGTCATCACTGGGTGCCAGCATCGGTCCTGTACCTGCCTGTGGCGGAGGGGGGGCAGGGCCTCGTGGACATTACTGCAAGGACTGCTGCTTTTAGACTGCAGGCAGCTCAGTAGTGCCTCTCCCTGCTGGCTGGCTATGGCCCGGCTGTTGCTCT